CCTGTGCTTCATAAAATCATGCTGATAACCATGTTCTTCTCAAGGAATTCTTGAATATTATCCCTTAATAACCTTTCAAATATTTTCCCAGCCACAGAAGTTAAGCTCACAGGTCTATAGTTTTCAATCAAGGATTTTGAACCCTTTTTGAATATAGGAACCACATCTGCCCTCCTCCAATCCTCCGGAACACTTCCTGACAGAAGGGAATCTTGAAAGATTAAAAACAGAGGTTCACTTATTTCTACACTTAGTTTCTTAAGTACTCGTGGATGGATACCGACAGGCCCTGGAGCTTTGTTTGTATTAACTTTATTTAGTTGCTGCAGCACCTTGTCTTGAGTTAACCAATTAAAATTATTCTGCAAGTTTTTAGTAGCAATCATTTGCACATCTATGGGTTCTTCCTTAATATAGACGGAGGAGAAATAGTTATTTCAAATTCCTGCCTTTTCCTGGTCTTCATTAACTAACACCCCCGTTTCAGTTTTTAGTGTACCTACACTTTTATTTTTAGTTTTTTTTTAGAATTTATGTACTTTAAAAATGCTTTGGCCCAACAGGGGCAGAGAGATGCCCGCAGTCGAAGGGCGACATCAAATACACCTGGTACCTTCCGGCCCCGCCCATTCCACGACAACGATAGAGACACATAACTGCACACAACAATTTTCGGGCCTCTATCCCACCCTACCAGAGAACAAGCGCTAACCGGCTGCCACCAGACAAATTTGTGCTCAAACGACCCACCCCACCAGTATGACTTCTCCAAACCCACCGGTTGGACGCTCTCGGAGCCCCCATTCGGGATCCAATAACACACACTCCCCCCCCTTTACCTACTGGGTTGTACAGCCCAACCTACCTCCCGAGCCTGTAAAAGTCTGTCAAAGTCCACCACAAGTTATAGCCCCAGAGTATAAATACCAAGAAACCTAGAAAATATAGAATACCAAACAAAAAATAGAATTAAGAACATGAGAGCCAGGGTGGAGAGAGGAGATTGGGAGGGTATACACCACTGGAAAACAGTCTGGGACTGGAACAATCAAATACTATTGCTCGAAAGAGACCTATGGACCCTACAGCTGCATGATAGAACCTCAGCTTGTAACCAAATGAGCAGCGTATGTCAGAGCGGAGGGGAGTACCCCTGCTGTCCCAACAAGATAACTCTGTAGCACACCCGACGCGTACATTATCGATATATTGTTATACTGTTATATGTCTATTTGTTTCCTATAGACAAAAACCTAAATAAAGAATGTCAAAACAAAAAACAAATGCTTTGGGGTTGGTTTTGCTCTCTTTAGCTATCATTTGTTCATTTTGAAGCTTAGCAAATCTAATCGCCTTTTTGCACGCATTATTGGCTTCCTTATATCTTTCATGAGATGCTTATGATTTGTCCGATTTAAATGCTTTAAATGCCCTTTTCTTATTTTTAATCTCTTGTTTTACTCCTCTACTAAGCCACATTGATTTTAATTTGTTTCTTTTATATTTATTACCCAATGGCACATACTGAGAAATGTACCTTTCTAATATTTGTTGGAAGATGTTCCATTTATCCTCAGTGTTCTTTTCACTAAAGAGTTTATGCCAGTCAATATATTGTAAAGCTGCCCTTATCAATTTAAAAAGGCCAATTTCAATAAGTTATGTTTTAGTATGCACCATGTGCTTTTGTTTTTTTGAGTGTATTTCAAAGGACACTATATTGTGATCACTATTTCCCAAGTGCTCACCTACTTGAATGTTGATCAAAAGATCAACGTTGTTTGTTAAAACCAGGTCAAGACAAGCGTCCATTCTAGTTGGTACTTGTACAAGTTGTGACATGAAGGTGTCATTTAACAAGTTTAAAAACCTAATTCCCTTTGCTGAGCTACTAGTTCCTCTGTCCCAATTTATGTCTGGGTAATTAAAATCTCCAATAATTAAAGTGTTACCCAGATTTGCAGCTTTCTCAATTTGCTCAAACAGCTGTTGTTCCTCGTCAATATTAACATTAGGTGGTTTATAACATATCCCAACTAGTGATGTACCGAACGGTTCGCCGGCGAACGGTTCCCGGCGAACATAGCATGTTCGCGTTCGCCACGGCGGGCGAACATATGCGCGGTTCGACCCGCCCCCTATTCGTCATCATTGAGTAAACTTTGACCCTGTACCTCACAGTCAGCAGACACATTCCAGCCAATTAGCAGCACACCCTCCCTAGCAGACCCTCCCACCTCCTGGAAGGCATCCATTTTAGATTCATTCTCAAGCTGCATGCTTAGTAAGAGGAGGGAAAGTGTAGCTGCTGTTCATAAGATAGGGAAAAGCATAGCTAGGTTAGGGATAAGGGTATGCTTTTTTTTTATTTATTTTTTCTATGTAATGTAATTGCACTTAGTTGTCTGCCACTGCTGCCAGCTTCTGTGTCAGGCTCACAGTGCATACTGTGCCCATTTCCCCAGTCAGTGCCACCACTTACATCTGGTGTCACAATAGCTTGGATTTAAAAACAAAAAACTTTTTTCACTGTTATAGATTGAATAGCAGTTAGTTGTCTGCCAGCTTCTGTGTCAGGCCTACAGTGGATACTGTGCCCAGTGCCACCACTCACTCACTAGTGTCACAATAGCTTGCATTTAAAAACAAAAACTTTTTTCACTGTTATAGATTGAATAGCTGTTAGTTGTCTGCCAGCGGGTGTGTCAGGCCTACAGTGGATACTGTGCCCAGTGCCACCACTCACTCACTGGTGTCACAATAGCTTGCATTTAAAAAA